ACTTTGTAATCGTGGATGAGCTACGAGTCATTAATATTCTATACCACAAGCTATCGCACACTTTCGTCTATATCCCATCATCAGTATCGTATCCAAACTTCGAATCTTCCGAGGACACCTCAGTAGCGACCACTGGATTTGATCAAAAAGTGTCTCAAGATAATTATCATCAAGAAAGATTGAATGTAGTGCAAGAAAGATCTAGAAAACCAAGTTCCAGCTACGTTCTAATATGTGAAATATGCCGTCCGTTCTGATCTCTGCTTCAGCTTTTACCACAGCTGCATCTTGCTCTTATCATTCTGATTTATTGCCGATAAGAGAAGCGTCTTATTCCAAGCCTAGCCCTTGTAAGGTCCAAAACCCTACATTTGTTCGAAAACCTCAGAGGTCCTTATTTAGTTTTGTTCTTAAGTGTCATGACAAGATGTCAAGGAAACAATATCTTAAAGAGAGGCTATCACTTTTCTCAGGGTCTAATGTTGTAGAATACAATCTCAAGTCACTTTGAAATTCTCTTTCTACTACTCAAGCCACTTCACTTCTTCCACGCTCTTGCCAATGGCCACTTCCGACTTCTTTCGCGAGCCCTTTACAGTCAATAGTCCAAATGTCGTCTATACAGAGGATGAAATCACTTCCAAGTATACGTACACGACCACACGAGTTGAAGGCACAGTAGCTACGCCTGTTGAAGAAAAGTACACGTTTAAGACACAACGGAAGGTACCGAAAGTTGGAGTTATGATTGTGGGTCTTGGTGGTAACAATGGATCAACACTAGTGGCCAGTGTTATTGCCAATAAGCACCAAATTACGTGGAATACGAAGGAAGGGGTGCAGCATCCCAATTACTTTGGCTCAATTACACAGGCCTCGACTGTACGTCTTGGCACGAATGCTAATGGCGAGGGCGTCTACATTCCGTTTCATAATCTCTTGCCTATGGCCGCACCTAATGATCTAGTTATTGGTGGCTGGGATATCTCATCACTTAATATGGCTGAGGCTATGAAGCGCGCGCAAGTACTTGACCATGACTTGCAGCGTCAGCTTGTGCCGTACCTTGAAAAGATCAAGCCATTGCCATCGATTTATTATCCGGACTTTATTGCTGCTAACCAGGCTGATCGTGCTGATAATTTGCTAAAAGGCTCAAAGCAAGAAAATCTCGATGCTCTTCGTCAGCAAATTCGTGACTTTAAGCAAAACAATGGACTTGACAAGGTTATTGTGCTGTGGTCTGCCAATACGGAGCGTTTTTCCGATATCGTTACGGGTATAAATGATACTTCGGCTAATTTACTGAAGTCTATTCAAACAAATGAAGATGAAGTGTCTCCCTCGACCATTTTTGCCGTAGCTTCGATCCTCGAAGGCTGTTCGTACATTAATGGTAGCCCACAAAACACTTTCGTGCCCGGTGTGCTGGATTTGGCCGAAGAAAAAAAGGTTTTTATCGGTGGTGACGACTTCAAGTCGGGCCAGACTAAGATGAAGTCGGTATTGGTGGATTTCCTTGTCTCGGCTGGTATCAAACCCACATCAATTGTAAGTTACAATCATTTGGGAAACAATGATGGCAAGAATCTCTCTGCGCCGCAGCAGTTTCGCTCGAAAGAAATCTCCAAGTCGAACGTCGTTGACGATATGGTGGCCTCAAACCGCCTGCTATACAAGGAGAATGAACACCCAGACCATGTGGTAGTGATCAAGTATGTGCCATTCGTAGGCGATAGCAAGCGTGCACTCGACGAGTACACGTCCAAGATCTTTATGAATGGAAACAACACCATTTCAATGCACAACACATGTGAAGATTCGCTATTGGCAACGCCATTAATTTTGGATCTCGTACTTGTGTGTGAGCTTGCAGAGCGCATTACAATTAAAAAGGAAGGCGCAAAGGACTTTGAGCACATGCACTCGGTTTTGTCCATACTTAGCTATATGCTCAAGGCGCCACTTGTACCACGCGGGACACCAGTTGTCAACGCACTCTTTGCACAGCGCGAGTGCATGATCAACATCTTTCGTGCCTGCGTTGGTCTTGCTCCTGAGAGTCATATGCTGCTCGAAAATAGGTTGGCTAGCGAGATAAACACGCGCCAGTAGGCTTACACAGACCTTAGAATTTCTACTTTGCTTGCATAGTTAATTTTTTGATCAAAATATATTGCGTTGCTAATAATAATATTTTGATTTCTGTATTAAAATTATCTTCCAAAAATTTCAACTTTGAGTCTCGTGTTTTCTACATGAAATAGTTATGGGATCTGTAGCCACGTGGCGAGTGCTATTTTTGATTAGCGAGACTTCCATTTTGACATTAACATAAAGACGTCGGTGACCATGGCCAACTCGTTACGAATGCGTTTACGCTCCGAGAAACATCTTGCCAACATTACAAAGCGAGGCCAAGTGTCACAGCCTAAAAAGGTATTTGAGATTGTTATAGATACTATGTGCTTCGGATTATTAACATTGTTTATCGATCATTAACAGGAAGACAAGGGCTATAGTGTGGGTCCTATCCTGTTTGGCTTTTTCGTATTTGTGCTAGTTGGTTCAGCGTTGGTACAGATATTACAATCTGCGCAGTTTGGCCTGTAAGCTGAAGCCGTCAAGATCATTTTACATTCAGTCCAGGACGACACGTTTATCGTAGACGCGATAGTCTTTCTGCTATAACTTATCGTTTATCAAGAAAATATTAAACCATTTTATCTTGTTATTTTTATCTGTCTTAAATAAATTTTGGAATATGCCTCCTTTCTGTTAAAGGATAGAAACGACTTTTTGTTCCTTCTGGTTGATATGAAAAAGAATTGACTCACACTATAAGAGTCGTGCGGGCGACAAAATGCATTCGCTCGTAGATACTTTGCCGAAATAGCCGTTCGAGAAGCTGCATGAATGTCGACAACTTTGATGTTTACTAAATTAGAAATTCGTTTAATGCAACTTGCTCTTCTGATTTGAACCCACCTATTCACAGCAGTTCCTGTCCTACCTTTCGTGAATCAGCTTAGTTATTGACAAATCATAACCTAAACTACTACGGCAGACATTTCTAATTCCATGGTCATATTTCTCGATGAGGATAGGACTAATACATAACATGAGCACACTCTTCACAAATTTATAGATATCTTTTTGAGCAGTTGGGGTTTCAAAGTACCAAAACTCATTCATATCATTCTAGTATAGACTCGGCCCAATTTGCTACTGACTTGACCAGCTTGACTTTTGTGATCTACAGCTCCGAGTGCAACGACTCAGTTTCCTTAATCTTAGCAATAAAGTCGCTCTTTTCCACGCATCCTACGCATTCAACGCCGCGTTCACCAAGAATCTTACGTAGCTGCTTCACACGCATTTTAGAATAGTCTGTGTTTGCGTCCGTCTTAACAGCTACATTTCATGAAAAAAGTCAGTCAAAGGCATAACAAGAGAATCTCCAATTACAAAGTCGTACGGTATCGCATGGAGCAAAAATCAGGATTCTTCTTCTCCAATAACTTGCATATCTTCATCGAATCCTTCTTAAATGCTACTTGACGAGCAACATCCTTCTTTAATGGCTCCAAGTTATAACACTAGACAAACAACAGTTAGTTGTCACTGTACTTTTCTCTAGCCGCTTCAGCACATTTCGTACCAGTTTATTATCCTTAGAACTGAGTTTTTTTCCACAATGCGTCGTTACAGCTTTTTCAGCAAGTGACTGCGAATTTCCTTTGGGACTTTTCTCCAATGATTGACCATACGTCGACTTTATTTCATCCACAACCTTGATACACACTGTCAAGTAGTTGTCAGACGCTGTGTGTTGTCACATATAATAACAAATTAAGTACCTTCACACTCCTTGTCATCCGCCAGAACAGCCACGGTCATAAGAGTCAGCAGCAGAATAGGCTTAACGCTCCACATATTAATCAGCTGGTCAACGGATATTCAGAAGTGCGGGTACGGTAGACACGTGTTCGAGATGTATCGGATCTAACGGGTTATTACCCATTTGTGAAGTAATCAAGCTTGAAAGGTATACATTATATAGTAAAAATGGTGATATCCGGCAATATTAATTGTCCAGATTAGAATAGTGCCACGTGGACAAATTAAACAAGCTTCTGCAATATTATTGCTAAGTATAGCGACTCTGCAAATCGTTAAAAAAGCCGCTAGTCATGGTTTTTAGCTAGACAATCACAATACATGAGCAATATTCGATTAGATGCAATAATAGTCAATGTTAGTACCTTTGCCGCCTTGTTCGCCATGCTATCCTTCATCAGTTGTAACTGATAAGCTGCTTCATCAGTTACTGACCAAACAATAAAAAGTGAAAAACTTTTTCACAGAGTAAATCAGTAATAACATTATAAACTTACACTCTCCAGACGTTGCTCGACCACGAGAATTATTGCCATAAAATGCATCGCTCGAGATCGATTGGGAGCCTTGAAATCGTGCCAATTGCGAACTGTCCAACTGTTGTGCCTCACCACCAAAAAAATTGTCGGAAGAAATTGACTTGGCATTCTTGTATTTGTCCAAAGTCGGCGTCTGCATAGGTGCAGCTTGATACGTTGGTGCTGGTAAGGCACTAGCTGACGTGCGCTCACTATATATTACAACATGAAGCATGTTAGAATTAACATTCACAAATTAAAAAGAAGCTGCAAAGGTATAACTTACTCTTCAACTTCTTGCAATGCCCGTGCCAAAGCTTCGTCATCTTTTATCTGTTTTTCGGCTGAAATCTCTTCAGCAGTTGGAGCGGGTGGTGGTGGATTCTGTAGATACAATATGTAAGCGTCACTAGTGATAATTCCGTTCGAGAAATTCAACTCGAACCTCAAATGGGATATCGTCAAAATCAAAATCATTAACCCCTGCAGGGAGCTTCGTCGCACCAAGACGTGTCGCTTTACCACCTGTGGACAGCTTCGTAGCTCCTAAACGAGATGACTTTGAGATAAAAAACACAAAGACCATAACATTGAGCGTGCAATGAAGGATAGATATTTAAGATACTGCATGTCATACCTTGATTTGCGTAGATTTTGTAATAGATGGCGTTGGATTTTCACCATCCTTCTGCCCAAGTAAAACCACTGGGCGGTTGACGCTCAGTAGACCAGCAGATGGATGACGTGCAGCAAGCGATATCTTTTTCACAGTAGGAGCCGCAGTAGGAACTTCGCGTTGCATGTGTCCATGCAGCGCAGTAGCAGTTGTCTTCTCGTTATCAATCTCAACGTCTTTAACGAGCGCTTCCAATCCATCAATTTCATTGTCACAAGTCTTGTACACAATAACAGCGTCAATGAACTCCTTTAGAAAGCATAAATGTGTTGATCGGTCATACCTTCTCCTCTTCTGGAGCAGAAATTTGTAGTCGAGATGCTTTTACCTTTTTAGCCAATGCAATCTTGTACATCTGCGCCGCTTTCGAATTGTACTTGGCTTCAATCTGCATGTAAAGGAACAGTAGACCTGAAAATTCTAGAAAAAAAGCTTAAATATGTCAATCTCTCGTACACTTGTCATCTCCGCAGCACCGTATTGCTTAAAAAACTTGCGAGCTTCAGCATTTCCACCTTCACTCATTGTTTTAAGTTGTTCTTCAGTCCACTCGTCCATGTCAATCGAGCGCACAAATGACAAATGCACGCCTAAACGTCGATGGTAACCCGAACAGTCTAGACAAATAAAGACGCCATATGTGACTGTAGCCCAAGTTGGATGACGCTTATTACAATCGAAACAGCCTTTATTGGCCACAGATGAGCGCAGCTTCTGGAACCAAGCGTCGCGCACCTGTGTCGGTACGAACACAGATTTAGTCATAGCACTCATACTTGTCAAAAACTTGCGGGAATTAAATTTAAGTCTACTTTGTGATCTGGACCTTATTTTTAGATCCCATTCAGAAATAAAGAGCTGTTAATATATAGGACGATGGATTTCTAGTGCAGTTCTTTAATTGACAAATTATAAGAATGTTCTGAATTTAAGCGATTTCACATATTTCATGCGTTCATCCTCCACTTCTTGATATATTTGTCAATACCTGCGTTTTGTTGGCACATGCTTGTTGATCAACAATTTTAGCAGATGCATCCAGAAGCATCAAATTACACTTCCTAATGATTACGCTCCTGTAGCAGCTTCGGGCGTCGTTAGGTGGCCGCGTGACTTCTTCATGTAGTCTGGAATGTTAGGGCCATCATACTGATCTGTGGGAAGGCCGAGAGATCGCCGAATGGGTACAACTACCATGGGCATAGTGATGCCAATGACGCCGATAGCACACGAGATTACCACCATGGGTTCGCGATCCAGGTAATGACGGATAAATTTACCGAGGGCCATTATAGCGTCCGAGTTATTTTTTTTATGTGAGAGTTGTCGTTATTATCGTGTTCTGTAAACCACACAAAATTTTAAGTGTTATCAAACAGGTATAAAATGATGCATAAAGTGAGTACTGAATCGCAAAAAATAGCCGACAAACACCCATTATTATTTTTCAAAAATAACGTTATTTGACCAACAATTTAGCCAATAAATGATTCTGCATCTTTCTGTCGATTTCCTCCGCGTGTTTAAGTCCCAAACTTCAAGCCTACAACTCCGTTTCATTTCTTCCTCAATTACACTAAGCAGAATTATCTTCTCCACGAGCTAACGGTTCAGGGCTATTTATGTGTATTTTTTGCCTAACACTTCAATGACATTATATAGATCAGCAAGTAAGACTCAATCTGTATTGATTGTCTAAATATTATCAAAGTAAAAGTCCAGCTGCCTAACGCATTTCCAAAGGTAAGCGATTCTTAAATGTTATGAAATAAGCTCAAGTTAGATAAATTACATTCACAAAAACTCAAACATGATGACGGTGGCATACCTGGCTCGATATCTGTTGACTTTTCAGTTTGGGGTTCGTGAGCGTGGCAAGATAAATAGAGCTGACAGCAGAATCTTTTTGCCACTTTTGATCGATAAACTCATCGGGAAATTTGATCTTCAACATTTCCTCCATAGAAGTAGCCGCATCGGTCGCTTCAAATAAAGTATCTACATGAGACACTTTTGATGCTTGAGATGAAATCAATTCAGCATGCTCGAAAAGAGCGCGGTACTCCGGACTTGTAAGAATCGCTTTGATTCGGTTTTTTGTCACAGCCTCTAGAAAATGAGAAGTGTCAAATTTGAGCGCGTCGAATGCTTGAGAGAGTGAAAGTTGACGAAGGTCCTGCTCATTTGCTGCTTTCTTCAATTCAGCTCTCAGGACATCAAGCTGACGCTTCAATGTTATGTTCTCCATCTTGTAGTTAAATAGAGCCTTCAGTCGTTTCTTATCCAAGTTGTAATTGTTTTTGAAGGCTTCCATTTCAACGTCAAGATGGCGTGCTCGTTCAATTTTTGAGTATGCTGAGCTTGGTGTATGCAGTACGTCTCGTTGACTATAAATACGCCTCGTTTCAAGAAGTAAGCACTCACGTTCGTACCACAGCTTCAGTATCTTCTTCTCTAGATTGTTCATCATCCATTGCTTGACTTTGTAGACAATTCGTGACGCCCAAAGATTTGGGTGGACCATAATTCCGTGATGTTGCTCTTGAAGCTTTTGAAGCTTATCCATGGTCGTTTTTAGCTGTTCTATCTTGTTTTCTTTTACCAACAGAATATCATCTGTGGACTTTGGATGTATCTTTACGAATGCTCTGGCTGATTCGACGGCTCGCTCAAAATTCGACCTTTCTTCCGTTGAAAGGTACCGGGTTCGCATATACGCAGGTTCAACCTTCAACAACACCAAAGCAGTTGCTAATACACATTGGTATAACTTCATTCTGCTTGTTCGTTCGCTACGTATCAAATTCTTAAATGAAAGAGCAAGTCAACCCTGTGTCTGTTTGATGTGCAGAAAATAACCGAATGTTTCACAGATGTTTTCCTTAATTTATGCTGCCTTCTGCTCTTTCTAATCGGAGGAAGACAGACTCAAGAAAGAAAGTTGAAGCAATACATTATATAGTCCGTTTGTATGAGTAGATTTGAAGATTCGTTCAGGCGACACTGCAACTAGCACTAGACTATCTTTCACTCAGAACGAGCGATTTGAATGAAATTCGAGCTCTTGGACTAAGAATTAGGCTCATGAGACTTATAATACATAAAGAGAGTTGCATATGTATAAAATCTGTTTATGATGGTTGTCGGCCTAGCCTAGATTTGTTCATTGTGAACATCAACGCACTGGAATTCAGGAATGCTGGACTTTTACCTTGATAACTAAGGTAATTCAGATTATAAAATACAGATAGATTGTGCTAAGTGTTATTGAGGGGGGGAAACTTGATATCAAGCGAAGTTGTAGGCTTTATTTAAGCTTAGGACTACGACAAGGTACAAAATTAATTTTTGGCTTGTAGAAATGAAGTTGCTGAAAAAAATAACAAAAGGGAAAAATAAAAATTAGGTTTAAAATAGTTGTAAAATAGCCCCGAGCTCTGGGAATGTAAAAGTCAATCAACTTAGCATTTGATTTGATTTCAACTGAAAAGGGTCCATGTAACTAAGCTTCACTGCACAATTAGCTTTCTGACCAAAAAATTTCGACTTCAACTGTCACATCAATCATTCAAACATGCTGACTTTATCTCGATAGTCGATCTCCTGATCTATAACAAAGGTCCAGATGACAAAGTAGGCTTGAAATGAATCCCCTAGCTTATTAAGCAAGTTTTGGCAAGTATGAGTGCTACGACTAAATTTGTGTTCGTACTAAATCGTGGTCCCAAAAGCTGCGGTCATCTGTGGCCAATATAGGCTGCTATCACTGTAATAAGCGTCGTCCTACTTGGGCTACAAGCACGTATGGTGTTTTCATCTGGGTATACTGTTCGGGCTATGACCAACGTTCATGTGTGTATTTGTCATATGTGCGCGAAGAATGGACTGAAGAACAGCTTGAAACCATGAGTAAAGGTGGAAATTTTAAAACCGTACGTTTTTAAGCAATACAATGCTGCGGATATGACTAGTGTACACATTAGTGTTCAAACAATTCTCTGTATCCAACTAATTTTTCTTTAGAAAGCAGATACCCGATTTTGAGTGCTAAAGGCACCACAAGTCGTTTGATCCGACTGCGTAACTACGAGTTTGCCTGAGAGAAAAAGTTATATCAGTGTTGAATGCATATCCGGAGTCTCGGAGATACTCTTCCTCTTGCAGACAAGCAAACCCAGCTTACAATTTATGTGAGCGCTAGTTGGACTTCTGTCATAACACTTTCGTTCAAGAAAGCGGGCAGGGAATGTGCAATTCATGCAGAGGAGAGGCGAAACTTTGAAAGCGCCTATTACTCGAAGAGGTCAAAGTGGGATTAACGAGGCAGGTTATGTGCTGGTTCGGAGCAACCTTTTATCTCACTTCTAGCGGTAAAAACCTTAGCTGCCTTACTCATAGGTTGTTGGTCGCAGAAGCCATATTTTTTCGTGGCTTGCTGACTCATTATCTTCTTGGGGAAATGCTGGCAATAGAATTCCAAGGAGATGATATCTGAGCTCAGTCGTGCGTATAACATTCATTATATGCGCAATGTCGAAATGATCGTGATATCAGCAAGATCTCCGTTCATAAGAGGACAGTACAATGGGTTATGTACCCGATAATGGTGTAAAACACCCTACAGTGTTGCCGCTTGGAAAAGTAAAAATTAAAGCATCAAAGAGAAGTAACATGTTAGTGAATCATCAAAATTACTCGGTATTGATGAGGGTGACGGTCTTAGTGAAAAGGTCCATGGGACACGTGAGATACTATCTGCATGCTACTTTAGATGGGGGTTTATTAATTTCTAGCAAAAGGATATACCAGTTGCAGAGTCAAGCTCTGACTATATCACTCAAGGTTTGGAGCGAGTTAAATTAGTGAGTTCTTGGCTAAATATATTGGCGGAGCGCTGCGATCGTATGCTTTTGTGCATGTGTAAGGACGCTTCAAATGTGAAAGAATTATCTGCGCGAGATGCGCGGTGGTTCTGCTAAAGGTGTTCAATGCAGTAAAAAATATCACTGATAATCATGGGCAATCAATCATACTTATCAATAAGGTTATATGTACAGAAAAGTCTACAACCTAAAATGCTGTTCTGTAACACGTCCTTGTAAGAGATCCGTTCGAGCCGCGATGTTGGCTATATTTGCTTACTGCTAGCATGCACAATTCGCTACTTGCCATCAGCTTTACCAACGCAGAAACTAAGCGCGGAGTGGTTGAAACTTACACTCTCTCTCACCTAACTCGATTCGAGCAGCACGAACGACAATGTTAATGAATTCATTCTGTTTCCTTACAAGTCTGTATGTGTGATTCAAAATTTGTTTCCAGAAATCAAGTTAGTTTTATGTCATAAACCGAAAGAACACCCATGGTTGGCCTCTCGTCCATGAATAATCAGTTTTTCTCGGCTAGAGTAGAGAAATGAAGAGAAGATATAGCCGTTTTACATTATACACTAGGGGCTTTGCGATCGTTCTACATAAATGTTTTATTCACAAAGGATAGCTGTCTTATCTCGTATTCCAGTACCCATGGTATCGATTCTGTGATCTCTTACCGTTTTTTCTGCATTCATCGATAATTCTACAAAATTAGGAAAGCCTTCAATTGGCAATTTGAGCGGCGAATAAGATCCTTGGGACTTATGTGGTCTGTGTTCACGAGCGTATAACTATCTCGATACAAACTTAATGAGTTTTGATGTTCCGCACGATAGATAAATCACTTGATGTTGCTGTGTTGTCAGGCCGCAGTAAGAGTGAACCAACTTTTAAGAAAATCAGGGCATTGCCTTTCTGTTTGACTCATAATAGCAGAATCAAACTCTGGAGACTCTAGACTTACCTGCATCAGTTCATTCCATCAGATGTAGTATCGGGGAAACTGTAAACACCTGCCCTAGCAGGGTCAACATTGGTTACCGCAACATATGCTAGCTGATTTTCGTCTCATTTATAGACCGCGGCTCACAACTGTTTTGCGTGTCGAGTATTGCTTAAAGCTCTACACATTTTGGACCCTTCCCGGCCAACGTTATATAAGGTTTCTGGACGCAATGTTTTGGATGCTTCGATTGGATCGATGACTTCCGCAAGATTCAATAATTCTTCTATTGAAAGGTCCCGGGTTTGCATATACACAAGTTCAACCCTCAGCAACACCAAAGCAGCTGCCAATAGGCGTTGGTACACCTTCATTTTTTCTTGTTTGTTCGCCGCGGGTCGAATTCTTCAATAAAAGAGCAAGTCAATTCTGTGTCTGCTTCGGAGGAAGACGACCAAGAAAGCTAACGCTTTACATTGATATAAAACGTTGGTCTGAGCAGATTTGAAGATGTGTTCGGGTAGATATGCTGGTTTGTAACTAAGCTGGGCTTCAGAGACCATGAAAGGTACGTGCGGCTCGATACTGTCTGAAATTGATAGCGAAACATGCGCGATCTCTGAACCCAAGAATGTGTTTTGCAACATTCTTGATGTCAAAAATAATTACAGCGTGAAACGCTCTTAAATTTAGACCTAAATCGGGGATATAATTTAATCCCAAAGCTCGCCTTATTGAATTGCTATCAGCCATCGATCGACGAAGTCATAGGCGGTAATGCACCACGCATATCTATCCTAGTAGAATCTTTGAAAGGGTTATGATCCCATCACTGCCGATAGCAGAAGATTTTTTAGTACGAGTACGAAGCTACGACAGCTTTGACGCAGGACATAGAAACGTTCAAAATGAGTAGCAATAGTACCTCTTTAAAGCTTTGAGCAATACTCGACACAAAATAACAATTGTAGGGTGCAGTCTGGAGATGAGACGAACATAAGCTATTCTATGTTGCGATGACCAATGTTGACCCTGCTAGAGCATATATTTACAGCTGTGAGCTGGGTTCTCCGATACTACATCTGATGGAGTTAAGTAAAAAAAGAAAGTCGTGAGTCTTTAGAGTTTAATTCTACCACTTAACTTCAAACAGGCAAGGTTCTGGTGGTCTTAAGATTATTGCGGTCTGACAACACAGCTTGTAACGGGATTACACGTGCCCTTGTGTGAAAGGACGGATCGCACGAAGATAGGTGTGGATTACACAAGTTGGTGTAATCAGGCAATGGTGTGGCTACACCGTAATAAGAAGCCGCCGGGCCTTGCAGGATTGCCAGTAGTAACGCATATTTCTATATTAACTAGGTAAGTTATAAATTACTGTATTAATCAGGAAAACCTTGGATTTTAGATATTGGCGGCTCTGCCGCATCTGAAACAATCAAATATAGTTTTGTTTGTGAACAGAAGTGTTCGTTTGCCTTGGTAAGGTTTTAGTACTTATAGGTAGCGCGTTGTGATCCGGTTCTTTGAAAGAACGTATGGTTGGTGATCAAAGCTTAGCTTCCTCTAAGCAAAGAGCTACAGCAGCTCCGCTGCACTTGGGAACACTCGTAGTCAATCTAAGCCAGAGTCGTCACGGCGGATCCTCTGTGAGGATGGAGAATTTTTTTATTTGCCCCAGGGCATGCAGGACGGGCGCAATGGACTGATGTCCATGCTGTGTACTGAGGGTATGGGGCACCTTGT